TACCTAACACCACCGATTACTTTAACTCTACAGTTTTTACAAATATTCATTTATTTTGCAACCCCAGCCCTATGAAATAGGTGGTATTAATACTCTTATTTTATAAATGTAGAATCTAGACTTTGTGTTGGTTGGAACCAAACTCTTAATTTTTTTTTTTTGGTGGTTTTCTTTTAGGATATGATGACGCCTATAAATTTGGGGGAAAAGACCATTTATTTAGTTTCATTCTTTGAAGGCTTGCAACGCATTATTTTATTCACTGAAGATCCAAGGGTGTTTAAAGCAACATATGAAAGTGAGAAAGCTGAGTTAGCAGAACAAGAAATTGTGTTGGCATTGCAAGATGTTGGAATTTCTCTTGTCAACAATTACACAAAGCAAGAAGTAGCCTATATAGGCATTACAAGGTTAGGTGCATTAAATTTTGGATAAATTTAATCTGTCCTTAATTATTAAGAAATGATAATTGTGAAATCAAAAATCTTTAGTTTTAGTGTTTGCACTATTCATCAATACTGAGGTAATTCAAAGTTGCAGGTACAACTGAGGGGTCTTTTTTTACCTTTTAAATTAAAAATGTTATAAATTTATAAGTCCCTTATATTTTTAAGCCTTCAAATGCTCTAAAAAGTTAATTTACTCAACTTAGCAAAAGCATACTTCATTTAACATGTCATAAAAAATGCTTAATTGTCTTTTACCATCTATCACAGTTCAGAGTATACTGTGGATTTTCTATAAATACTTGTTGGTAGATTAAAGACAATCACTTTCTAATTTGACTGTGGCACTTGATGATTTAGTAAGGTTAATACTGTGTTTATCATTAACTATATGAGACATCACCAGTTAAGCTCTTATCGCTTTCTTATGCTGCTGCTATTCCTATTCATTAGTATTTAATTTGGAATTATAATATATAATATGCGTTACATACTATATAATGCCTAATGTAGAGAGTATTCTTCCCAGACTATATAACCAGTTTGAATCCTTTATTTAAGTTAAATTCCCAAATATATGCAAAAGGTATATGATACAAATTTAAGTTCAGTTTCTATGTAAATTAGATGTTGTTGGCCTCTCCAAATGGAATAAATGCCATTTCAAAAGAAATATTAAAAACTTGTCTTAGAAATTTTTATTGTTCCCGCAAGATGTAAATTTTTACTATTTAAATAAAAAAGCCACTTGGGTGTGATGGCAGATATCTATAATCCCAGCTACTCAAGAGGCACACAGGCAGGAGGGTCCTGAGTTCTGGGCAAGGTATAAAGGCTTTGTCTCAAAACCAACAACAAAAAAGGGCTGAGGGGCACAGCTCAAGTGGCGGAGTGTTTTTCTGACATGCGCAAGGAAGGGCCTGTGTTTAATCCCAGTACTACAAGAAAAGAGTAAAAAACAGTCATGCAGTAATAGGTTTTAAGGCCATTAAGCCAATTACATGTTAATCTCCTAAGCTAAATGATATGAATGCAAAGATATATAACGCATCCTCTCTCTCTCTCTCTCTCTCTCTCTCTCTCTCTCTCTCTCTCTCCCCCCCCCTCCCTCCCTCCCCCACTTGAGCCATGCAGCCACCTGAGCCATGCCCTCAGCCCTCTACCTTTCTATTTATTAAATGGATATAAATTTTTAGGAAGAATAAATAAATTGAATACTTGAATACATACATAAACAGTAAAGTCATTTTAGACGATAGGCATTCTGTAGTTAGGTTTTTAGCCATTTAAATTTCAGTACAATTGCATTTCTTCCATTCACACTGCCATAGATTACTACCTTATACTTTATCTCTCCTCAGACCCCCATCCTCTCTTTTCTCAGCTCACTACTTTCCATCCCACTTTAGTAAAACTTGTGGCATCAATAGTGAACTTCCACAGATCTATTTCATCCTCCATTGTCACAACTTCGTATTTGCCATCATTTTATAACCTACATCCTGTACCAACCTATTTCTTAGAGCTGCCATATATATCCCAGGTCTGTTACTAGTTAAGCATATTTTTCTACTTTTTCCCTATATTTCATTCACTTGCCTACCTGAGGACATTGATCCAGTTCTCCTCTTTCTGTCCTAAGTCTGCAGCTTTGTCTCTGTATTAGATTGCTGTATTTTCCTTCTATCTATTACCAATTTCTTTATTTCCCTTCATATAAACTCCTCAAATGTGTTGCCTGTTTCAAAGAGTTTAATATAGTCACTGTATCCAGTTCCTTTTCATCCATTGTTTTCTTTAATAGCTCCAAACAGTCTTTTGCTTTCAACACTCATAAAACTGGTCTTGTATGTTTCATTTTTCATGATTTCAAATATCATATATATTCTGTTTCTCTTGGGGAAACACACACATACCCCAAACACACACACATACATATATATCTCACATTTGGTCAGATCTTACCTGAGCTGTAATCTTGTATGTTTGACTGCTTACACTAAATCTGCTTGAACGTCTAAGACTTCATATGTGTAACACCAAACTTCTAATTTCTTCCTTCTACCAAAACCTGCTTTCCCATGGGAATTATTAATAACTAATTCCTTTTAGTTGCTCAAGCCAGAGACTTTGGAGTCATCTTTGATTCTTCTGTTTCACACCCCAGATATATTTCATATTTAAGTTCTGTTCTGGCTTTACCTTGAAAGTACACCTAGTTTCTGGATACTTTTTATTATCTCATTGTTATTACCTTAGAGTCATTACCATTTCTCAACTGGCTTATTGCATCACACCTAACAAATTTTCCTACTTGTAGCCTTGACCCCTTTTTCCCCCCTTGCCCCACAACACAGGAAGTACTCTAAAGAAAGAGGAAGTCACATCATGCTGCTGATCTCATAGTCTTTCAGATGTTTGTTTCTTAACTCACTCAGAATAGAGTTCAGATTCTTTACAGTGTCCTGTAAAACTTTGCTCTGTTTGGCCTCTCACATACTTTTGTCATCTTCTAATATTCATGTGTTACTACCCTCTAAATTCCTTGCTTTTCTTCATACACTACAGCTACCGCTGTAGGGTCTTTGCTATAAATGGTCACTAACCTGAAATATTCTTACCCACTTGTCTGCTGGATGAATCCTTCACCTCCTTTAAGGTTGCTGATTCCTCACCTTCTCCATGAGATCCCCACTGAATGTTGCATTTTAATACTGCAGCTCACACCTCTTTGTATATCCCAAGACTCCATATTCCTGTTACCCTTCCTAATGTTTCCTCTTTCAAAAGCATTTCAACTACTGTATATTAAAATTAACTCATTATTTATTGGTTGTCACTTCCTAGCTAAAATAGAGAATGGCAGAGATGTTCACTAATATTTCTCTCAACACCTAAAATAGTGCCTCAATAAGAACTAAGTAAGTATTAGCTGAATAAATTGATGTTTTAAAACTTGTAATATGCTTGTTTGTAACTGAGGATGTTGCAGAATTTTACTGAAGATTTTATAATTCATCTCAATCCAGTTAAAATGAAAATAATTATAAACTAGTACTATAATTTTTGCTTTCATATATAAGTTCTGATGTAGTTTGGGAGACAAAACCCAAGAAAAAGGCAAGATGGAAGCCAATGAGTATAAAACACACTGAGAAGTTGGAGAGAGAATTTAAGGAATATACTGAATCTTCACCTTCAGAAGATAAGGTTATTGAGTTGGACACCAACATTCCGGTAAAATTTTTAAGTACCAATGTGAGGTTTTCATTTTGTATTGTAATTTTGATAACTACTGAATTTTAAGGAAAATCTGGCTTACTTACAAAGCAAATTGAACAAAATTAATACTGATACACATACTACATGTAAAATATTTGAAAGGTGTGGTTACATGTATTAAGAAATTGAACTTTCTCTGAAGATACTAGATGTTAATTATTCTTTCAGTTAATAAAGAACCAAATGTTTGTTTATATCTTTTAAAGTTATTTTTCTTTTGTTGCTTTATTTTTATTGTATAAATTTTAATAAATTATGTAAAAATTGATACAGTCAAGCTATAAGGATTACATGAATATATAAATTTTATGGCTATGAGGTATAAAGATTTGAATCTAAACCTAATCAAATATTTAATCTACAATGTAAAATTATCTTAAAAGTTTTTTGGCTTAAATTTCCACTTTTAATCTATCATAGAAAAGCAAAATTTCATGTCTTTTTGTGGGGGGGGGGTGTTATTTTTTAGGTTCGCTTAACACCTACTGGTAATAACATGAAAATTCTGCAGCCATATGTAATAGCTCTACGAAGAAATTATCTTCCCGCATTAAAAGTGGAATATTGCACATCTGCACATCAGTCATCATTTAGAATTCAGATTTATAGAATACAGGTAAGTCTTTCTGAATATATAAGCAAACATATTAAGAAATCAGATGCAGTCCTGTGTTTTATTTTTGGGTTTTTTTGGTGGTACTGAGGTTTGAACTCAGGGCCTTGCACTTGCTAGGGAGGTGCTCTTCCACTTGAACCACACCTCCAAATCCTTTTAATTTCAGATGTTTTTCAAATAGGTCTCTCTTCTAAGGCAAGGCCAGTCTAGACCACTATCCTCTTACTTATGACTCCCACATAGCTGGGATGACAGACTTTGGCCACGTGCCCTGCTTACTGGTTGAATTGGGGTCCGATGAGCTTTTCTGCCTTGGCTGACCTCAAACCGTGATCCTTCTGATCTCCACCTCCCGGTAGCTAGAATTAGAGGTGTGAGTCAACATGCCTGGCCAAACATTTCTGGTCTTTTGTCTTGTTTCATTTGAGGATTTGTGTGTGTGTGTGTGTGTGTGTGTGTGGTGTATGTGGTACTAGAGTTTGAACTCAGGACCTCTCACTTGCTAGCAAGCGCTCCACTATTTTATCCATACCCTCAACCCTTCCTTCTTCTTAAATCTTATTATTCTAGTCATGTTGTGTCATTGATATACTTACTGTGTACTGACCTGTTGTTTATTTTTTTAGATCCAAAATCAGATTCATGGTGCTATTTTTCCATTTGTGTTTTATCCTATTAAACCTCCAAAGTCCATCACCATGGACTCAGGTTTGTTTTCATTTTTTGTTTACCATCAAAACACTTGTTTTAGTTTATTTTATCACTAAAATATTAAACCATTCTCAAGCTTAGTTTTTGCAGAATCATTGAAACATTAAACTCCCTGAAAAAGGACCAGGAAGTACTCAAATAACTTCACCAAAACTTCAAGTGAATACTAAAAAGATTAATTAGAAATGTATATTTTATAAATTTTTAGAAATACTAATTTTAAGGCTGTATTATTAATATATGAGCCTCTAACTTTAAAACCTTTGAGGACCTTTGAATAAATAATGAAACTGTTCAAATTCAGAACATTTTCCTGTTTCACAGGGAAACAGTCCTATGATCTCCACATGAGAATAACTGACACCCTTTCTTCTCCTAAGTTATCTTTCTTCCTCCTTCTTTTTTGCCTATCTTTCTTCCCTCTACTTTCTCTTTGCCTACCACCTTGCTTCACTTCCTGTGCCCTTTGTTTCCCATGAGAGACCACACCATGGTCTCTACACTTTTCTAGGGGATGCTCGTTAATTTGCTTGGAAGCATTTGAACCACTGTGGATGCTTAAGCCCCCCACCTAGAGGTCTAGTTCAAGTCTTCAGAATCTGTTTTCAGTTTCCCTGCTGATTCAAATGTGTACTTCTGGTTTAAAATCATTAATTTTTAGAATTAGTTGTCCTTAGATGACTGCAGATAATAAAAAGTTCAGTTATGGAATTTGAAATTAAAATAGTAATGGACCTTGAAAATGTCAATAATTTTAATTGATATTCATGATTTAGTAACTGATTTAATTATCCATTGTAATGTATATTAAATTGACAGATAATGCTTGTCATTGGCATCATGAAAATAATCATGTATAACCTTTACAGCACCAAAGCCCTTTACAGATGTGAGTATTGTTATGAGATCTGCAGGACATTCCCAGATATCACGTATTAAGTAAGTGTTTTCATATATTTCTTATATGTTCACTTAGTATTTTGGTTTAAATATATGAATTATTGGCCCTCTTTTTTTTTTTTTATTTTTCTTTTATTATTCATATGTGTATACAAGGCTTGGTTCATTTCTCCCCCCTGCCCCCACCCCCTCCCTTACCACCCACTCCACCCCCTCCCGCTCCCCCCCTCAATACCCCGCAGAAACTATTTTGCCCTTATCTCTAATTTTGTTGTAGAGAGAGTATAAGCAATAATAGGAAGGAACAAGGGGTTTTGCTGGTTGAGATAAGGATAGCTATACAGGTTGGCCCTCTTTTTTTGCACTCTTCAAAATAAATTTCAGAAAACTAAAAGAATTAAGCATAAATACTAAATTTAAAGGTCAAAAGAATCTGTTAATTATTTTATAATCTTAGAAATTCAAAAGGTTCCCAATGAAATATACCTTAGTGTTGACAATTGTTGATTCTAGAACTTGGGTATTATTTTCTTTCTTTTTATATTTGTTTTCTCTCTTTAAGTTGGGTGTAATGACCATATATTGCTTTAGAAACAAGGACAGGTAATACTTCCATATTCACTCACTACTATTTCCAAGAAATAGAACATAGATAGAAACATTCATCTTATGTGATTCTCCCCTATCTCATTCTCCTCTCTTTGTGACTGAGATAAATGATATTACCTTGTTTTCTAAAATGATAGTATTATTGTGTATGTATACCTAAGCATTATGCTGTTTTAATTTATTGCAAACCGTAAACAGAGTTCTGAGGCTTGTTTTGCTAGTCAAAAGTTTTGCTAAAATGTACTGATGTTATTGTATGTAACTATGGTTTATTATCACTGTCATATTATTGATAGTTTACTTATCAATTTCCTCTCTACAGCTTTTTTCATATTTTGGGTTTGTTTTTATAAACAAAGTTGCTATGATTTATTTTATGTATCCATCTAAAAAGTCCTTAGTTCAAAGCTCTAATATTTATCTAATACTTTTTTCTTATCTAATATCTTTAATGCAGTTACTTGATGATGTTTTAATATTTTCTAATTTTTACTGTAGATATTTCAAAGTGTTGATACAAGAAATGGATCTTAGGTTAGATCTTGGATTTGTCTATGCTTTAGCAGGCCTTATGACAGAAGCTGAGGTGACTGAAAAAACGGAGGTAAGACTCACAGTATTAACATCTGATAGGAAGAACTAAGGAAAGAGGAGGACTAAAAGAGTTACCAACTTTGTGGATAAATACAAGGGCAAATGTACTGCTTTTCCTTTTCCTAACTGTTCATCCAGATGTGGCTCACAAATCGTATGTCCGCGCATTTAAAATGCAGTTCAGCACAAAGTTGTACAACCATCAACGCTGTGTAATTCCACACCATTTTCTCTACTCCACAAGAAATACTTTAGTTCTGTGTAGCCACTAATATACTTTCTGCCTATGTAGCTTTTTCTATTCTGAACATGATATACATGAAATCATATACTATGTGGTCTTTGGTGAAGAGCTTCTTTTACTTAGCATGTTTTTAAGGTTCACCTATACATACCACTATTCATCAGTTCATAGAAATTTGGATTATTTTCACATTGTGTTTTGAATATTTGTGCACAAATTTTTCTGTGGGCGTATGTTTTTATTTCTTTTGGTTATATACCTAGATCACATATGAACTAAGTTCAGTCATTTTCAAACTGCCAGTTTTCTAAAGTGACTCTTACCATTTTTTATTCTAACCACAGTGTATGAGGGGTCTTATTTCTCCATATTCTTGCCAACAGATATTCTCTGTTTTTCTTTTCTTTGTGGTGTACTAGGATTAGAACTCAGGTTCCTCTGCTTACCAAACAGGCACTCTGCCTCTTTAGCCACACCCCCAGCCCTTTTTGCTTTAGTTATTTTCTAGGAAGTTTTCATGTTTTTGCTGAGACCATGATTCGTCTACCTATTCCTGTCAGGTAGCTGGGATTGCAGGTGTGTAACACCACACTCCTCTTGTTGGTTGAAATGGGGTCTCACTAGCTTTGCCTCGCTGGCCTCAAACCATTATCCTCCTAATCTACACCTCCTGACCACCTGGGATTACAAGAGTTCAATACTACACCCAGCCTGTTTTTTATTCTAGCCATTCTAGTGGGTGTGAAATAGTTTTTCATTTTGTCTTTGATAACTGATGATGTTGAGCATCTATTGATGTCTTAATTTTCCATTTGTGTATCTTTAATGCAGAAATATTCATTCAGATCCTTGCCTATTACTAATAGGTTATTTGTCTTCTTATTATAGACTTAAAGAACTTCTTTATGTATTCTGAATACAACTCCCTTATCAGATACATGATTTGTAAATATTTTTCCTGCCTTATGGGTCCTTTTTCACTTTCCTGATGTCATCTTTTGAAGCACAAAAGTTTTTAATGTTAATGATGTCCAAATTATATTTTACTTGTTGTTCATGTGTTTGGTATGACTCCTAAGAATCCTTTGCCACATCTAGGTTCATAGTATTCACTCTTAAATTCTAAGCCTTCTAGCATTTTAGCTCTTACAATTATTCTCTGATCCGTTTTGAGTTCATTTTTGTATATGGTGTGAGATAAGGGTCTAAATTGCCCTTCTGCAGGTGTCTATTCAGTTGTGCCAGGACCATATCTTGAAAAAATTATTCCTTCCTCTGTAGATTAATCTTGGCACTTTTGTGGAAAATCATTTGACCAGAGACAACATTTTTAGTCCACTCATCTATCTGTCCTATGCTAGTACCAGAATATCTTGATGATCAGTGCTGTAGTAAGTTTTGAAATTGGTGACTGAGTCCTCCTTCTTTGCTCTTCCTTTTCAAAATCGTTTTAGTTATACAAGTCTTGCAATTCCATATGATTTTTAAAATCAGCTTCTTCAAAGAATTCACATGAGTTTCTGATAGGGATTATTGCATTGCATCTTTCAATCAATGCAATATTAACAATATAAGTTTTCTGATCCTTGAACATGAGGTGTTTTCCCCTTATGTAGATTTTTAGTTTCTTTTAACAATATTTTACAGTTTTCAGAGTACAACTTTTACACTTCTTTGTTGAATTCATTCCTAAGTACTTTATTATTTTTATAGTATTATGCATGTTGGTTTTCTAATTTCAGTTTTTGATTGTTCATTGTTAGTATGTATAAAAATACAATTGGTTTTGTGTATTAATTTTGTAATCTGCAGTCTTAGTGAATTCGTTTCTCCTAGTTATTGATTTGTGTATTCTTGTTTTTTACCTATCAGATCAGATATGGGTGCTTTTTTCCTTCCCTAATTGGTCTGGTACCAACTGTAAAATGTTAAATAGAAATGAAAGCAGACATCCTTGTATTGTTTCTGATCTTGGAGGAAAAGATTTTCAGTCTTTCACAGTTAAGTGTGACGTTTGCTGAATATTAACATGTGTGTATATTATTATTCTGAAAGATCCTTCTATTTTGTTGAGGATTTGTGTGTTCATATTCTGTGGTTTTCTTGTGATGTCCGTTTTTGGTTTGGTGTCAGAGTAATCTTGACTTTATAGAATGGATTGATAGATGTTCCCTTCTCCTGTTTTTGTTTTTGTTTTTCTTTTTTCAAGGAATTTCTGAAGAATTAGTATACTTTAAATGTTTAGTAGAATCAGCAGTGAAGCCAGCTGTACCCAGATTTCCTTTCTGGGTTGGTTTTTCTGTTTTTTTAACTAATTTAATTCCTCACTTATTGTGGATCTATTTACATGGTCTGTTTTTCTTCTGGAGTCTACTTGATTAGTTTGCATGTTTGTAGGAATTTGTCTCTTTCATCTTTTTTTCTTTTTTTAACATGTTGGCTGAAAATTGACAGTATTTCATTGTAACTCATTTCTGTAAGGTCAGTAGAAATGTCCCCTTGATTCTTTTCAGAGAATCAGCTTTTGGTGTTCAGATTTTTTTCCTTTTGTTTTACTGTTCTTTAGTGCTTTGATTTCTGCTTAAATTTTATTATTTCCTTCTTTCTTCTGGTTTTAGTGTTGGGTTTGCTTTATTTTTAATTGTCTAATGTAGAGTATTGATTGAGATCTTTCAGCTTTCTTAATACAGCTATTCAGGTAAAAATTTCCCTCTTAAATACTAGTTTAACTACTCCTATAAGCTTTATTATGTTGTGTCTTTATTTTCATTTACTTCAAAATATTACTCATTTCTCTTCTGTTTTTTTTTTCTTTTGCCTATTAGTTATTAAGAACGTGTTGTTTAGTTTCTGTGTATTCGTGAGTTTCCCAATTTTTTCTATTACTGATTTCTTTTCATTGTGATTGAAGAATATAGTTTATATTATTTCTGTCCTTTCAAATGTATTGTGGCTTGAAGTATTTTCTGTTCTAGAGAGTGCTCTCCATGTGCTGTTGAGAAGTACGTGTTTCATACCATTGTTGTGTTGACTGTGATATCTGTTAAGGATAGTTGGTTTATATTGTTGTTCAAGTCTTCTGTTTCGTGATTGATCTTCTGTCTAGTTCTGTACCCATGTTTGAAAGCGGAATATTAATGTCTCAAACTATTAATTGTTGAATTAATGTATTTTTCCTTTTCATCTCTATCAGTTTTTGCAATATGCATTTTTCTGTGTTATTAGGGGCATATAGGTTCATAATTTTTATAACTTTTTTATTACTACGAAATGTGCCTTTTGACTCTAGTAAGATGTTTTGTTTAAAAATATATTTTTGTCTGGCAATATGTATCGTTCTTGTTTGCTTCATGGATCATTTTCTATCCTTTTACTTTCAATCTGTTTGTATTAATGATTCTACAGTGTGTTTTTATGAACATCACACTGTTGTGTTTTAGTTTTTACAACCATTTTGATAAGTGCTGCCTCTTGATCAAATTGTTCATTCCTATCTTGTGTTACTGATATTAGATTTATGCCTACCATTTTGCTTTTTGTTTTCTGCATGTCTCATCCTGTTGTGTTTCTCAGTTCCTTTTCTACTGCTTTCTTTGCATTAAGTGAGCATCTTCTTACGAAGCACTCATATTTCTGTAGCAAACTGTTGGTAATGTTTCTTCCTTTTTTGTGTGATTTCTCTAGGACTTAAAACACACATCTCATTAAAGTCAGCTTCTGATTTATACCGGCTTAGCTTTAGTGAACTATAGAAATGTCACTCCTGTATTGCTCTATTCCATCTTCTCCCTCTTAGTAGTATTAATCTTATACACATTGCATCTATTATGTTACAAACCCAATAATACATTGTTGTAACCATTACTTTACCATCTGTTCTCATTTCTTGGTATAGCTCTACTTCCACATACCTTTTTTTGTGCTTTTTCTGGAAAATATATTACATTTCTATATATTATAAGCTCAACAGTATATGTCTGTGTAATATGAGGTCTTTCCTGGAGAATAGCCTGTATGCTCTTGAGAAGCACACATAATTCTACTGTTTTTGAGGTAGGTGAGTATTGGGACTATTTGGTTTATACTGTTTTTCAAATCTTAAATAAGACCTTATTTAATCAATTGTTTTGTGAATCAGTTAAGAACCTTTACCTGTGCCTTTAAAAAAAAAGGATTCAAATTAAGGTTTGGAGTCATATGCTTAAATTAATATTTCTTATAAGGCAAATTTGTTGCAAGAAATTGTCAGATATTGTTTATCTGCATATATCATTCTGTTGCCTTCATTTTGAAAGATAGTTTGGCTGTATCTAGGAGTCTTGGTTGACAGGGTTTTTAGCACTGTGGCTAGCTGCCACATTCTTGCCTTCTTATTTCTATCAGAAAGTCAGCATTAATCTTACTGGGCTTGCATCTAACGAGTGACTTTTCTCTTTCTACTTTCAAGATTTTTCTCTTTCCACTTTCAGCCCTTTTACTAAGATGATTTGAAAATCTTCAAGTATTTTTTTTGTTCCATTCTCTGCTCACCTCCTTATCTATATTAGTATATTTAATGATGTCCCACATTTCTGTAAGACTTCATTTTTCTTCACTCTTCTTTCTCTGGTTTTTGATAGTATAATCTCTACACATTTATCTTCAGGTTCTTGGAATATTTCTCAACACTTGGAAAAAACAAGTATAAGTGTTTGGAAGAAAAGTGTTGATGATTGTCAAGAATGAAATATTAGCCACTTCATGCAAAATTATTTTCAGTGCCTTCTTTTAAAATTATATTACTGTCCTATGTAGCTTGCATTAAGGAAGGTACCAAAATGTTATAAGCAGTTATACAGTTGTGTTCCATAGAAATAAATACACACAGAACTATGTTGATAAAACTGATTAGTGTCCTTTTGAGGTATAATACATAACCACATGAAGAAGAGCTTAGTATCATTTAATGAAAGCATAAAGATACACTTATCAGTTTGTGACTGGCATGCAGTGCGTTCCTAACAGTATAAATGTAGTTTCTCTTTTGAGGCACTAGCTTTCATCACGGTATTATATGCGGAGTTTTCTGAAATGTTTGAGCTGTTAGCTTTAAATATCTCATGCAAACAGGTCCTTTCAGTTTTTAATACTTTATGTTCCTTTTGTAGATTGAACTTTTTCATAAAGATATAGAAGCTTTTGAAGAATATGAAACAGTTTCATTAGTAGATCAATCACCGGTCAGTCTCTATGAGTATTTTCATATATCTCCTATCAAGGTAGGGAAATATGTTATTTTCATTGTCTCTTTTAATCTGCATAATCACAAATTGATCTTTTCAGGGAATATAGCACTTAAATTATGTTTTTTAATGGTATAGAAATTTTTTAATTTTACCATTGCAAATACAAATAAGTGATCTATTAAATTTTTCAGGTAATTTTTCACTATGCAGAAATAATAGTGAAGTCACCCATAGCATATATTCTTATATTTATATTTGCCCTAACATTATTTTGCCTTAATTTTCTGTTAAGATTTTCAAAATTTTATGTATCATGTATGTATATGATGAGTTTTAAATTAATTTATAAAGTGGACTTTATTTTAAGACTTGGATGGTGAATCAAAATTAAATCTTAGGTTTTTGTAGTTTTTGGTTTTGCTATGTTTGGTGGTACTGGGGTTTGAACTCAGTGCCTTTCCCTTGCTAGGTAGGCAGTCTACCACTTGAGCTATGCCTCCAACCCAAATCTAAGTCTGTACCACAGTTTCTGAGTTACTTGTAGCATATTTGAAGAAAATTATTGCACAACTATATTTAAAGATATATGTGCAACAGAACACTAACGTGCTTTTAACTGGTTTCATCATACCAACTTAAATTCTAACAGTTGAAATGTTATACTTTCAGAAATATTTGAGTTGTCTTGAAAAGCTTCAACCTCTCAGTTGTTAATGTTAGTAACGAATGTATAAAAATATTTTACTAGGTTTGCCAAAAGAATAAAATTAAAGCCAGGTGTGGTGGTACATACTTGTAACCCCAGGGCTGCATAGTGAGATCCTGTCTCAAAAAAAGAAAAAATAGGATTAAGCTAAATATCATATTGTCTTAAGTTGTTGAATTTAAATTTTAAACAGAGGTATATTGGATTTTTTATTTCTTTAACTTTTCAGTTAGTATTTTTTGGCACAACCTAGGTAACTTTGAAATCTTACTAATGGTGTAGTGAATTTAAAATGAACCTAAGTTTTTTTTTTTTTTTTAAACCTGAAATTGTCAGTATGAAGAAAATGCTATTTAAAATATTTTTCTCTTTATTTTTTAGTTACATTTAAGTGTTTCACTGAGTTCAGGGAGAGAAGAAGCTAAAGATTCAGAACACCGAGGAGGATTCATTGCAGTTCATTCTTTAAATCTTCTACTGAAGAGTATTGGTGCCACCCTTACAGATGTACAAGATGTAGTGTTTAAGTATGTTTAATATTCAGATCTGTGAAGTGATGAACAGTCCATTTATATTTACCTAAAAATTTTGTAAATGAGAATGTGGGCAAAGTATCTCGCAGATCAGAGGCAAAATGTGGCTTTTGCCTTTAAATGCATGAAATGCAATCAAAATAACATCATTTTATCTGTTCTTAATGACTAAATGATAGAACAGTTATTAACTAATTTCCTTCAGAAAAAGAGACATAGACTATGTGGTTTTATTCACTTTAGAGCATTTGGCCTAGGGAAGGATTGCTAAGACATGATGTTCAAAGATGTGGTGCTTGAAAGGTATAGCTTTGCGATCGAGGTTCTACAAAGGATATATGACTAGAACTGAATGCGTGTAGTGACATGGGAAATGAAGGGATCATTTTAAACATGTTGTAGTCAAAAACTTATACTTAGGCCAGGCATAATGGTACACATGTGTAGTGCCAGCACTCAGAACGCTGAGGTGGGAAGATCACTTAAATTCAGGTATGTGCTGTGAGTGGGTCTCCAAGTTAGCCGATTTTAGTTCCTCTGTAGGCAGGACCTGCAGCAATTGAACCCTGGCCATTCCTAAGCAGCCACCTCCATTTACCCCAGCATGTCAGACATTTTCTGTGTGGACCATGGTAGGACAGAATTGGGTAATAGTTGTAGAGGTCTATTAAAGGGACGCAGGGAATCCCCTAAATTATGTGCACTTGTGTGTATATTGGTGGTGACTTCAGAGAATAAGACCCATAGATTTTTTATCAGATTCGTAGAGCATTCCTTGATCATAATGTACAGTTGCATGGGGAAAAGTACTAGAGATTTGGAGGGAAAAAAAAAAAAAAGAAAACCATTTATCAGTATTAAAAATTTTTAAATTTCTCTTCCCTCCCCCTCTGCATATGCATGTGTGTGGGTATGTGTTTATATATGTATTTGTTTATCTCTTTTTTTTCAGACTTGCCTTTTTCGAACTCAACTATCAGTTCCATACAACATCTGAACTTCAGTCTGAAGTGATAAGACACTATTCAAAGCAGGTTTGTCTGAGATTATCTTACAGTGGGACAAAATGATACAGACTAGTGAAACCTATTTGTTCAAGCATGTGTAATGTGTGTTTGTCAAGGGAGTAAATGGTCATTTTCAAAATCGTAGAACATGGGCTTTTGTCTCAGACTTTGAAGAAACAAACCAACATTGCAATTTTTTGTCCTCATCTTCATATTTTTCAGCCAGTGTTAGAATTTTTTTCTGGATCACTGTTAATTGGTAATTCTTTAAGTAAAATATTAGCTAAATAATTCAACACATTTATTTTTAAAAATGGGTTCAAGAAAAACTACTAGTAACTGATTAACACAAAATATTTTTACTATAAAGTTGAGTGAATCAGATATCTTATTTTAATGGATTTTTTCATCTCTAGAAATATTCTGTATCTTATGACATAGACTCAAGAGATCTGGGTTTGGATCCCACTTTTATTTCATACCTACCATGTGACCTGGGCATCATCTTACCCAATAACAGCTGTTACAAGTAATGTTACAGTGAAAGCATGTTAACTATTCTAGGGGTTTATATAAATATAATGTCACATTATCTCTATTACTATAACAACAAAGTGCTTTTTAAAAATAAGGAACATGTAAATGGATAAATGAGACCTGTTTGAACTATTCCAGGAATGGGGGGAGGAGGGATAAAGGACAATGACAGAGGGAGTGAATTCAACTATGATATATAGTAAAAACTTTGGTAAATGTAACAATGTACCCCTAGTATAACAATAATAAATAAAAATTTTAAAAAAGCAAAGAACAGTGATGAATAAGGTGATCTATATAGGGTTAAGTATTGAAATTAGTAGTGAAGATGGTAGCCTGAGAAAACTGGATTGTGTGTACCAAGTAGTCTATAAGAATAGTGGGCCTAATAATCTGAATTAATTAATGTTCATATTTTATTTTTAGGCCATTAAGCAGATGTATGTTCTCATTCTTGGACTTGATGTTTTGGGAAATCCTTTTGGCTTAATTAGAGAATTTTCAGAAGGCGTAGAAGCATTTTTTTATGAGCCTTACCAGGTAAAACAGTTACACTTTCATTATATAAAATGTCAAACTAGTACTTTTGAATAGACAATGCATTTTTATTGTTAACTTGAACTGTGGGTGTAAGTAGATTTTGAGAGACACACAAAATGATATACTAATTTGTCAGAAACAATGGTAAGAAATTTGGGGGAGTTATGAGGAAAATTTCTACTTTTTCCTTAAAATTTAAAGTTAATAAGACTTTAAACATACACTGAATTTTAGGAGAGGGTTTAAAAATGATATACTGAATTTTAAATATTCTTTTGGAATATGGTGGATGCTGGCCAGGCACAGGGTGGCTCACACCTATAATCCTAGTGACTTGAGAGGCTGAGATTACAAGACCCCATCTCCAACTCCAAAATAACCAGAGCAAAATCGATTGGAGGTGTGGTTCAAGCCATAGAGCTTTGCAAGTGTGAAGCCCTAAATTCAAAACCCAATTCTACAAAAAATAAAAATAAAAAGGTGGATACACTTCAAACTATAATAAAAGAAAGATCACCGTGTGGGTAGTTTTGCTTTGTACTGAAGTATGGACATAGAGAAATAACCATAGAAGCTGACACCATGCAAAGCAGTCTTATTAATGAATGAGAAAAAATTATCTGTATGCCTTAAAACTTTGTATCAAAACATCCATTACTCTTGTACTCTATATAAAATGCATAGGATAATCAAAAAAATAAAACTAATACTTATTTTGTACATTGTACATTTATTTTATACATTGTAAGAGATACATTAAGAATTTGAAATGTTTTATTTCTTTTTTAAAAAACTTACTGGGGGGGAGGTGGCCAAAATAATGTATATACCTGTGAGTAAATGTAAAAATAATAAAATAAGTTTAAAGTTAAAAAAATATATATATCAAGAGGGCTGGAGGCCTGGCTGAAGCAGGGGCGCCCTGAGTTCAAACCCCGTTACCACCACCAAAAAAATCTTTACCAAGAATAGTTTAAACTGTGTTTTTGCTTTCATTTCATCATAGAATTTACAATACAGAGCAAAAATCTTTACTTTGGTAATTACCAAACTCTAGACTGTTTATGACAACCCCCAATAGATATCCTTTACACTTTCATTGTCATTTGAAATTGTCCCTGAGAATTCTTCTCATGCAAGGGGTTTTTTTGCTAGCTTCACTTCCTCTGGGACATCTTTATTCTTCTCATCACCACTTTCCTTATTTATATCAATAAGCTCATCTTGAAATGTAAACTTTTTTTTTTTTTTGTCACTTTAGGGGGCCATCCAGGGTCCTGAAGAATTTGTGGAGGGAATGGCACTAGGATTTAAGGCACTTGTTGGTGGAGCTGTTGGTAAGAAAGAGAATACCAAGTTTTATTGTGGTAGAAATGAGTGACATATTTGCTTTTACTAATGATACTACAATTTCTGTTAGGTGGATTAGCTGGTGCTGCCTCCAAAATCACCAGTGCTATGGCTAAAGGAGTAGCAGCTATGACTATGGATGAAGATTACCAGCAGAAGAGAAGAGAAGCCATGAATAAGCAGCCAGCTGGTCTTAGAGAAGGCATCACTCGTGGAGGAAAAGGCTTAGTTTCTGTAAGAAAGTTCATAGGGTTATGACCATTTTAGGGAATAGCTTTTAAAACCATATTCTATGAATAAGGAAACAGAAGCATAACTCTCACTTCTTAAATTATTATTTGGATATTGTAAGAGTAATGAGTGATGGACATATAAAATGTTATCAGTCTCCAAAAACATTGTGTTAGGTAAAATACCTGGGACATATGTTGATTCTGTGGTATAAAAAAGAACTTTGTATTTTTTTGTTTGTTTATTTGTTTAAACCAGAACTTGGTTCTTCCAAGCATCCTGTGAAAGTATTGTAAATTTTTAATTGTGCTTTCCCTCTAGGGATTTGTAAGTGGCATTACAGGAATTGTTACAAAACCAATTAAAGGCAAGTATAGTAGTTCTTTGGTTTGATTCTGTTTTCATTCTTTCCAATTGTGTAAAGTGTTAACCATTTGTTTTCTTTCTAGGAGCTCAAAAAGAAGGAGCAGCTGGCTTCTTCAAAGGTGTTGGGAAAGGTTTAGTTGGAGCAGTGGCCAGGCCAACTGGAGGCATCATAGACATGGCTAGCAGTACCTTTCAGGGAATCAAAAGGTAAATCTCCTTGATATGTGATATGAGTAAAATTCCTAAGCCATGAGAAATGAAATAAACCTCCTCTTTGACTTTGAATGCTTAGTTATGAACACTATCATATGGCAAGTTGCATATGACTTCCTAATTCATTTTGATTCTTTTAAGTTGCTGCCATTCTGTCATTTCAGCATTGCAAAGTTCTTATTTGTCATTCATTCCTAGCAACTTTTCCATGAACAGTTTGGCAAGTTAAACAAGCTTTTCAGTTATCTGAATTGAAATATGCTAATGTAAAACTATGTATCAGTTATAAGATTGGCAAATACAACATTCTGTCCTTTTTTGCCCTTACTTCATGATCTCACTTTGTTATAAAACTGTCATATCTATTCCCTCTCTTTCTCTTCATGTGTGTTTCTGTTTTTATAATAATCCAGAATTTAAGATAGGGAAAGGGGATCAGTCTCCTCTTCCTGTAACTTTCATAAATATGTTTTGAATCATGGTCATGAGAAGCTTAAAAAAATCTGTGAACTCAAAATGTACAGAGAGCTGTGCAGACTTTGGCCCAGAGCTGTTGGAATTACCTTCCATTTAGCTAAATCCTTATAATTCTGTACTGAGCTACATTACCTTTAAGGATGAGGGACAGAATAAAACATTTTTTGAAAAAATAATGACGAATAAGAGCTTTAAAATTACGTACTTGAGAAGAAGTAGATTGAAATGAAGAATGGGTTGTAAGAATCTAAATGTGAAAATATAAATCAGTGGATAAAACTAATTGAGCTATATGAAAACAGTATTGGAACCAAATTAGTATATGATAATAAAATGCAATTTGGAAGGGAATGATTGGCATGAAACGTCCTAATGTCATTTGTGAAGTGTGTATACTTAATATTAAACATACTTTGAATAAAGTAATTAGCTCATAACAAAAAATTAACCAGAAAGATAATTTTGATGATGTATTCAGCTCACAAAATGGCCTCAGTTTTTGTAAAGCAAAAATGGGTAAAATTTTAAGAACTTCACAAATGTGTGATGACAGTGGAATAATGTAGTATTTCTCTCAATTTTGATAGATCAGGAGACAAAAATGAAATAGTTAAGAAACTATTTAATATGCCTAAATTTTTATGTATTTCTTTAATACATAAATATCAGCATGGTGTCTCATTACTCGAGGAACTAGCAGCGAACATACTGGCAATGTTCTGCCTTCTTACAGCTTACATTTTAGTGGGAGAGTAACAGACAAAGAAACATGCTAAGTAACGAAAAATACTATGAAGAAAAAATCAAATTAGGGCTTAGGATGTGACTCAGTAGAGTGCTTTCCTAGCATATATGAGGTCCTGGATTCAAGCCTGCCTTCTGCCAAAAATAAAAAAAAGGCAGAGTAAAAGAAATAAGGATAACCAAAATGGTGCTATTTTCTGTGCCTGACATTCAGGTGTGCTTCAGTCATAAGAGTTCATTTGAGGAGAGACTGAGAGACTTGAAAGAGGAAGGGAGTGAACCATGTGTGAAGAACATGCCAGATAGAAGAAACAGAAAGTAAAGCCTGACGCAGGAGTGTGTTTGACCTGATTAAGGAACAGCAGGACCAGTGTGCCATGAGTACAGTGAACAAAAGGGAAAGTTGGAAAAGAGCATTATCAGAAAATGAGTAGGGGATCAGATCACATCCAGAGTGCAAGCCAATGTAAGAACTTTGGCTTTTTCTTAAGTAAGACAAGAGTCTTTGGAACATTTGAAGCGTAAGAGTGATGTGAGCTGGGTGCTGTGTTGAGAATAAACCACACAAGAAGAGCAGGGCTGAAACCATGGAGTATTTAAGAGGTATTTGCAGTAATTTTTACTTCCAGAAGAGAGATGATGGTGATTTTTTGACCGTTACGGTGCTAGAGGTTATAAGAAGAGTTCGTGATCTGTATATATTTTGAAGGTAGTGCCAATAAGATTAGTTGATGAGTTGGATGCGAGATATAAAAGACAGACATTCATCAAGGATGATTATAAATTGGAAAAATAGGGTTATACTTTTAGGGAAAGAGGAAACTAGAACTTTTATTTTAAATATATATTAAGCGTAAAATATCTCTTAGACACTCAAGTGGAGACATAAAATAGTTGTTTAGTATAAGAGTCTGAAGTTTAAGAGAAAGGTCTAAGGTTAAAGTTTTGAGATCTGTGAGCCAGTAATAGGGTATTTAAAGCATGAAATTAGATGAGATCACTTAGGGAATGAGAATGCTCGGGGACCGTAACACTTAGAAGCTGGGGAAATGAGGACCCAGCAAAGGCATTGGAAAGGAATGACCATTATTGTAGAAGGGTAATCAAGAGTGGTGTTCCAGAAGCTAAAAAACAGATGGCCATAGCTTGTACTATTGTTTAAAACAGAAATCCTCTTCCCATTCATAATATGTAAGGCTGTTAGAGGTTTAATTTGAAAATCACATGTGGTTCTTACAACAAAACTATGCTTTCACAGTCCCCTCTGCTTAGAATACCCATCCCCAGTTTTCAGCAGGACTTACTTCCTTTATTCAGAAGTTTTCCCTCTGAGGCTCTCTGTGAATACTCTAAAATTTCATTTTATCCTCACCCCCATCCAAGTACTTCATATTTCTCTTCCCTTTGTTACCCCTTTAGGTCTTTGACCACTATTTAATATGCTATGTATTTTACCTTGTTTGTCTCTCCTGCAAAAATATAAGTTCCATAAGTGCAGTGGTTTTGTCTTTTTCCACAGCATTTAATTGACAGTATTGTCAATTAATGTAATTGTCCACTTACATTTACATTGTCCGTTTACATTTACTTATAGCGAGTAATACAGAGATCCCATTGCACTGTATTATGTGTCCTATGACTGCTGTAACAAATAGGGCCACAAACTTAGAGACTTAAGCAACCGAAATTATTCTCTCACAGTTCTGGAGTCTGGAAGTCTGAAATCAAGATGTGGGCAGGGCTTGAATCCCTCTGGAGGGAAGAATTTGTGCCTTGTCTCTTCAGCTTCCAGTGACTATACACAGTTCATTTCCTGCCGTCATTGTATTGTCTTCTGTGTGTGACTAGCCTGTCTAGGCACATATAGTGGCATTTAGGATCCTCCTGGGTTGTCTAGGATTATCTCATTTCAAACCCTTAATTTAATCATATAGTAGTCCCTTTTATTCAGGGTGTTGTATAGACTTTGCCTGTTTTCAACAGGGTAACATTTTATAAAACTACAGTGTACTGTGAAAACCAGAACACTGAGTTTGATAGAGCCCAGTTTGATATACTTACCTGCTTGTATATGTATTAATTCTGTGTGTTTTACCACTTTCTCTAGATCCATTTACCCATCTCCGTAGTCAGGATAATAAATACTTCCAGCATCACAGAAATCTATCCTGTTGCTTTTTCATAACTACATTCACCTTCTTACTCACCCAATACTCTAAAATCCTTCCTTAAGCAACTTTATACAGATGTTAAAAATTGAGACATGGCTTACACCTATAATTCCAGCTACTCAGGAGGCTTGAAGATAGGATCCCAGTTGGAGGCCAGCTCAGGCAAAATGTTAGCTAGATCGCCATCTCAACAAACAAGCCAGGTATGATTGCACACATCTCTCATCCCAGCTGTACCAGAGGCCATAGGAAGCTCATATCCTCCACCTGATCACAAGACCGTACGTGAAAAATACCTCAAACAAAAAGGGCATCACAAATTGTGAAGCTATCACCACAATCAAATTCCCAAACATTTTCATTACCCCAAAAAGAAATTTCATGTTCCAAGACACAAAAATGCACCAAAAACTGTTGAACAATACAGGGTAGGGGGAGGGGGAAAAGGATAAGAAAGAGTAATAGAAAGGGTGAGACTGATGAAAGCACAATATATTTACAGTAAAGTACAATATATTACCAAGGCAAAACCCCACTGAACAATGAATAGACACTAAAACAATGAAGGGTAGGAATTTAAACAGGTCATGTTTAAGGAAGGGTGATAGTAGGAGGATAAGGAAGGATGAATATGGCTGGTGTATTTTCTACACATGCATGAATGTGGAACATTGAAACTTGTGAGAGTCACTTTAAGAAGGGGATTGCAGGAAGAGGGAGAATAATGGAGGGAATGAACTAAACTGGTGTGCGATATATGTATACATAGAAATGTCACAATAAAACCCCTTGAATAATTATATATACTTATAAAAATTCTTTTAAAAAAAGAAGGAAAAAGAAATTCCATGTCCTTTTAGCAGTCACTCACCATTTCCCCCTCCCCCTTGGCCAGCAGCCACCACTGTTCTACTTTCTATGTTTATGGATTTGCCTATTCTGGACATTCCATATTAACGGCACTTAACAGTATAATGTTTTCAAGGTTCATATATGTTGCAGCAAAAAGGAAAGCTTCATTTTTATGGCTTAGTAATATTTTATTTTATGGATATACCACCTTGGTTCTAACTAAAATTGTTTTCTTAATTTCATTTTTAGATTTTCGCTGCTAGTTTATAGAAATACAACTGGTTTTTGTATATAGGCCTTTTATTCTGCAGCCTTACTGAGCTTGTTTATCAGTACTAATTGCTGTTTTTGTGGATTCTTTATAATTCTTTAGATCAAATCATTCAAGAGTAGCCATAGTCATACTACTTTTCTGACTTGGATGTCTTTTGTATCTTTGTCTTGAGTAATTGCTTTTATCTTTATTCTAATCCTCTTTGTGCTAGTTTTGGGTCTATTTGCTTTCCATTTTCTAGTTTCTTAAGGTATAGAGTTGTACTGCTGATTTTACATCTTTTCTTATGTAGCCATTCACATCTGTAAGTTTTCCTCTCAGCTCTCTCTTTGCTGCATAAGTTTTTTTATACTGTGTTTTTTTAAAAAATTATTCATTTATTCACACGTGCATACATTGTTTGGGTCAGGTCTCCCTCCTGCCCCCTGACCCTACACTCTCCCTCCCTCCCCCACTCAGTTCCAGGCAGGTCCTGTTCTGCCTTTATCACTAATTTTGTTGAAGAAAAGACACAAGCCTAATAAGCGTTTTTGCTAGTTGAGTTGAGGATAGCTACATAGAAATATTCCTAGCATTGCTTTCGTATACACGTGTGTTATGACCCATGTTAATTCATCTCTAACTGATCTTTACACTGGTTACTGATCCCCTTCTCATAATAACCTCTGTCTCTTTAAAGTTTCTGTATTAGCTCCTCTGGAATGGGGACATCAAACACTTTCATGTTTTGAGTTTTCTACCTATTCCTGTATCTCCCATATGTGCTCTCCTCTTGTCATGTGATCCAAGTCCAACCACATTGCTGCATTTGCCCTTGATCTAAAGTCAGCATTTGAGGGAGAACATATGATTTTTGGTCTTCTGAGCCTGGCTGACCTCGCTCAGAATGATGTTCTCCAGTTCCATTCATTTACCTGCAAATGATAAGATTTCATTCTTCTTCATGGCTGAGTAAAATTCCATTGTGTACAAGTACCACATTTTCTTAATCCATTCATCAATAGTGGGGCATCTTGCTTGTTTCCATAACTTGGCTATTGTGAATAGCGCTGCAATAAACATGGGTGTGCAGGTGCCTGTGGAGTAACCTGTGTTGCTGTTATACTGTGTTTTTGTTTTCATTCATCTCAAAGTATAGTGAGTTTCCCTTGTGATTTCTTTTTTGACCTTTCATTATTTGGGTTTCTGTTACTTGATTTTCAGATTCTTTTATTTCCAAAATGTCTTCTCTTACAGATTTTAGTTTTATTTCATGTAGTCAAATAATATATTTGCACTTTTTTATTGCTTTTGTATTTATTGAGACATGCTTCATGGCATAAATTATAATCTATACTAGAGAATGTTCCATTTGCTTGTGAGAGGAATATGTATTATGCTGTTGCTGAGTTCAGTGTGCTGTAGATATTTGTTAGGTCTAAATGGTTTATGGTATTGTTCAAGTCTTCTGTTTTCCTTACTGATGTCGTCTGGTTGTTATCCATTACTGAAGTTAAGATATTAAAATTTTCAACTAGTGTTGTTGAATTCTCTGTCAGATTTTGGTTAATGTCTTTTGGTTGCTCTTTTGTTAAGTGCCTGTTTGTTTATAATTTTATATCTCCTTGATGGATTGACCCTTTTCTCATTATGAAATATCCTTCTGTATGTGTAACAAGAATCTTTTGTTTAAATGCTGGTTTTTTTTCTTGTATTAGAATAGCTATTCCAGCTCTCTTATTTACTGTTTACATGCAATATCTTTTTCCCCATCTTTTTTACTTTCTACCTACTTGTATTTTTTTATTCTAGAGTGAATCTCTTGTAGGTAGCATATAGTTGGCTCATTTTTTAATCTACTTTTAATTATAGAATTTATATATACACATACATGTACATTTCCTATGTACCCATGTATCCATATATATGACAAACAGGCAGAAATGTTAAATGAAATATTATCATACAAAATTCATCAACTTGTATGTGTTTAGAATAACACACATCAAACTGAAGTGGGAATATGAGAGTATCTGAACATTAGAAAACCATGTCATTTGGTTTCTAACATTAATAGATTGAAGGAGATAAACCATATGATCACAATTACTAGAAAATAAATCCTTACATAAAATTCATTGCTCTTTCAAGATTTTCAAAAAATAACAACAGAAAAAAACAATTATCAGACTAAGAATAGAGATTTCCATGGGTTGATAAAGGATGCCTTAAAAAAATTAAAAGTTGCTATTTTCTCTGCTTTATAGAGAACTCAAAGCTTTCCTGTAAAGTAAGAAATGAAATAAGGATGTCTGCAATTCCCCTCTTTATTTAGAATTGTACTAGAGGAATTACACAATATAATAGAAAAAGAAAAGTATTAAATTGGAAAATGAAAAGGCAGCACTGTCATTACTTACCAATATGCTTAATTATTGTCACAAAAATCCAAGAGAATTTATTAACAAACTTCCTTATAGTTTTACATTTTTCTAGAGAATTTATTTATTTCATTAAAACACTTAAAAATAGAGAAGTGATATGGTATTCTCATTTTATCTAAAAGATTTTTAGTAGTTTCATTTTTAATGCTTTAGCAAGTTTTTGGATAATTTTTTTTAAAAAAATCATTTAAAAAGAAATTATATTTCTTTTCCTTTAGAGCTACAGAGACTTTTGAAGTGGAGAGTCTGCGACCTCCTCGGTTCTTTAATGAAGATGGTGTTATCAGACCTTACAGGTTGAGAGATGGTACTGGAAATCAAATGTTACAGGTAAATGAAGAAAAATGTTAGAATTACATTAACTTAGTCAAGGTAACTTTTTTTAAGTAGTTATATATGCTTTAAATACATATTAGATTATGTAGGCTTTAATATATTTTGTTTAGTTCCATTTAGAAGTTTCTTTTATTTACTTAGGCTTTAAAGTACATTAATTTACTATAAGATTTTTTTTTCTTTTTTACAGGCATCAAAAAGTTTGATGTGAAAACAGTTAATGCATGACTTTGCAAGTGAAAGCCAGCAGTAGATTTTTAGTCTTAAAATTTTACAAACAACGTACAGCTGTCTCAGTATTTTGAATATAAAGAAAAGATTTTGTATAGGTAACATTTTAATAGGAATTTCAGTCATCTGCTCGTTTTATAGATGATTCTTAGTTCTGCACTGGATTTGCTAAATGTGTTGAAAGCCAATGTGCCTCATGTACCTTCATAATTGATGGTACATATTTTTTAACCAGTTAAACTATTTCTATTTGGATACTTCCTTTAAACCATTACTAGATTTTACATCATATATAAAATTATCACCAATTAGGCACAGAGAAAGCAAAACAAAACTCAGGAGCACTGCTATTACAGATTATTTGTGGGCTCTTAGGCTTTTCTTTGGAGGATGCTCATATAAGTCCATGTAAAGCCTTAGGAGATTTGATAGGCAGTTTACATGCAAACCAGTATCTTTTAGTAAGGAAGGTTAACTTTTGGAAGATAGAATATCTTATCTGTTCAGACAACTTTCTTACTTGGTAAATAAAACTTCTTAAAATCTGCATCATGGTGTAAGTAATAAAATACACTAGTCTATACCAGTGTAAAGTTGTTTCTGTGGTTTAGATGTGGAATACTAAATTACAACATTTGTTTAAAAATAAGGAATCATTACAATGTATAGACTTGAAAATACTCATGGTAATAAAAACTCAATATTTAGGACTTCTCATGTTTAAAATAACCAGGGTAAAGATTTTAAAACTTTTAATATTTTATCTACTGCATGCAGAGTTTATAATCATCTTTATATAATTCATCTTTCTTTGAAGCTTCTGTTAAAATGTAACAGTTCATATACAATGTTCAGTATTGTGATTTTAAAATACTTTTATAACATCAAAATGTTTGCATATTGGAATAGAATTGGCCTCCTATTAAGCAGTTATACTAAAGGACATACTGTGTAAAATCTCTACGATGACGATGTAGTGTATCATCCTTCGAAGATAGAAAAGTTGCAGAACTCACCTATGGCTAATAAAATTGAAACACTTTCCCCAGTAACTGCCTTCCCTCATTAGAGCATGATTAACGTGTTGCTAACAGTTTACTAGATTGAAAGTTGAATGGTTTTCAAATCACCTTTTAAGAAACTAACAATACATGTTAAGAAACTTTTATTAAACTTGGTAGGATGTAAGGATGAATAGTAAGGAGAATTTAGAAATATACTATGCTTATAGGGACCATGTAATATGTAACCATTTCTCGTGGTTGATAATAGGATTTCAGTGGAAATTAAATTTATTTCTACACCATAAATTGTTTTTTGACGCTATAAACTTTTGAATATAAAGGAATTGTTTTCTGACTGTGTATATTTAAAATGCATATTATTTTTAGCAGGCTAGACTTAAGACCATTTTCAGTGACTAAAAATCTCATAATCTTTGTCAGCCATTACTTTTTTTCAGCAACAGTTTTAAATACAGTATTAACTTGAATACCTGTAGGAATTTGCCAGAAGCCTTGGGATGTTTGTAGTTGGCATTTTTCTCTTACAGGTAGAAGAAATGGATTGTTGCTTTAGTGGTAGTGGCACTTTTCTAACACTAGTGTGTTAGTAGCAAATGCATTAAAACTTATAAATACTAGTATGGTGGATAATAATTAACATGTAAGCTTGATTTAAAATCTTATCTACCTAGGTTTCATCTAAGTTATTTAGTGATAGAGCCTTAGGAAATGTTTGATACTTACAATGTTTCTCCTTTCATTTTCTAAAAAAAAGGTTTCTTGTATTCACAAAATTATACATACCCATATATGGCATACATGTCACATGTAATAGTTAAGTGTAAAGTATGTAATATATAACATGTATTCTTCCATTGTGTACTTTTCTATCCAGAAAGCAGCGCTTTCTAGATAAAGTGCTTCCAATAGTCAGTTGAAGTTGCCTACTAGAGAAGTAGAATAATTTTAATCTTAACAATAGCATTAAAATATTTTATACATTGGGTGTGTATAAAACTATGGAATTTAGTCTTAAGTCTATGAAGTTATGAAATATTGTATCCATAATTAAAGCCTGAGTCACAGCTGAAAAAGTTTGCTTTAAAGAATTATTCTAACTCCTTGAGCATTTCATAATTTTACATTTTCCAGGCAATTTTCCATACTTTTCCATACTAACTAACCTTTATGCTTCTTTTTTCTTTACCATGCTTACAGAAAATTCAGGTCTACAGGGAATGGATTATGTGTCACAGTAACAGTAGTGATGATGATGATGATGATGATGATGATGATTAGTCAGAGCTAAACTGTTAAAATTCATATATTCTTTATCATTTGACTTGGAATGTTTTGTATGCTTGGTATCACAATGCCCATATGCCCATTTTTAGGGAGGTAAACACTTTTTTCTTTTAAAATGTTTTTCTGAACATCATGATAAAGCAAAATAATTGCATTATTTAAGCACAGAAAAAAAATGTATTTTACATCCAAAGTAGGGCATTCTATGTATTATAGATTTGCTTTTATATATTTCACAATTGTGTATTACAGTTTGTCTTTAAGATTTAAAGTTAGACTTACATGAAGTTTTTAATGTTCGCTAGTTTTATTTTAAATAATCTGTTTATTTGTTAGCAAAATGCCCTTTAAAAAAATGTTCTCTGTAAGTTTTCTGGTCTATAATGTTATACCATTGTTTAAAAAGAGCAAGAGAGAGAGAATAGTAATAGCTATCCAGTGTTTTATATTTATTTCGCATTTTAAAGATATTTTTGTCAAATTTCTTTCAATAATAATAATAAACTTATATAACTTGAAGCAGTGTCAATTTGTTGTTCTATTCCAGAATCATGTAAGTTGAATGATTATAAGTTAATGATTTGTCATAGATGATGAGTAAAGTAATTTATAGTCTAAGAATGAAAAAAAAACTTTTATTTCTTTAACTCACTTTTTATTGTTTCACATAATACATTTTTTGAAACAATGTACAAAGTTGATTTTTACAGTCATTATATTTACTAGTCAATTTACCTGTCCATACAGTATATCCCTATTACAAAATGTTATCAATTAATTCAAGACAATAGAATAATTTTTATAATAAGCATAACTGTATATTTTTTCTAGCTAATAAAGAAAAATGTTATCTCTGTCTCTGAAAGATTCATAAGCAAATCCATTTTACGTTTTGAACAATGGAGGTCTTTTTTAAAGAAAAATTTAGCCAAGCATGGTGGTATGTGCCTGTAATCCCAGCACTTGATAGACTGAGGCAGAGGGGCTCCTGAGTTCAAGGACAGGCTGGGTACATAGGGAGTTTCAGCCCAGCCTGCATTACACAGTGAGACCCTATCTCCTATGTTCTCCTAGTTCCCTAGTATATCAGACATACTAAAAACAAACAACAGCAAAATCTAAAAATCATTATTGATAGTTACAATGCCTAATCCCTGTGACTGCTATGCGTTTGCATCAGCAAAGGACTGTTTACCTTGACTTGTGTTAAGCTGTTTATTTATATTGACCTTATATGTGGTCATAGAAGATAAGTAGCTTGCTTGTTTAACTCTTGGTTTGACTCAACCCTTTATTTCTGTTTTTTTAATTCTTAGGTTTATCAGGCTTTTATTTCTATTGATCTTTTATTCTCTGTATTCTTAGAAAATGGCTATTCTAGATATTAAAATTACTGAGCTTACTAAAAGCAAGAAAGTCACTAAGCAATAACCATCTCTTTTGAATTTTCTGTCTGCCTAGCATTCATTCAAATTAAAATGAGATCAAAGTGTATGTAGTAGGACTAAGAAATATGCAAATGTCAAAGAATTTAATTACTGTTTTCATCACAATAACACTCTTCTGAAAATAAGTAAATAAAAACAGTATAATTAAAATAGTCACTACTGATGTCAGAATGAAATTCTGTTTGTCATGCACCCAGTGTGATACCTTTTCACCCTTTGCCCAAATCAGAAACCACTGCTTCTGCTGGAAGCTAGAAAGAACACAACCTATTAGTGTATTTGTGGATGCCTGAGGAGGAAAAGGGCTTGAAGTGTCTTCATTGGCTTCTTATAATTACAACTTTGCTAGGTGTAAAGCCTTTGTAAAATAGAAAATGCTAAATTATTGGTTTGCAAGCATTACTGAGTTTTCTTCTTGTTAGTCTGTGATACTTAGTTCAATAGTACCAGCTTCGTAAAGATCATCTTCTGTTTCTTAAGAATTTATCTGATTGGGCTGGCAATGTGGCTCAAATAGTAGAGCACCTGCCAAGCAAGTACAAGGCCTTGAGTTCAAACCCCTGTACTGCCACGAAAATAAATAAACAAGCAGAAGAGAATTTATCTGGAAGAAGTTCTGGTTTCCATTTTAATAAAAAAGAAAATAGAAGGTAGGATTACATTTATTTAAAATCTCTCCAACAGTAAAAAATTTAAAGCAGTGTTATAGTAACTAGTAAACTTTACTCCTGTGGTCTTATGATGTCTTCATCTTTTAATTTTTAGCCCCAAGAAATAAAAGATATTCTTTAACAGTATATTTGCCCTTTCCAGTGTCTGGGCGGGTGATCTTGTTGTTGGGGGACGTTTGTTTGTTTGTAAAACAATCTTTACAGGCTTATGTGACCACAGGTTAACTGGTTTTCCAGCTTTAAAAAAAATGTTGCTTATATTAGAGAAAAAATTGCATTGAAAATTGTTCCTTTGTTTTATACTATTGTTTTCTTGATGAAAATATAGAACCAGG